GTTGGCCACGGTTTGCCATCGTTCGTTGGCCACGGTTTGCCATCGTTCGTTGGCCACGGTTTGCCATCGTTCGTTGGCCACGGTTTGCCATCGTTGGGCCTCGGTTTGCCATCGTTGGGCCTCGGTTTGCCATCGTTGGGCCTCGGTTTGCCATCGTTGGGCCTCGGTTTGCCATCGTTGGGCCTCGGTTTACCATCGTTGGCCACGGTTTACCATCGTTGGCCTCGGTTTACCATCGTTGGCCTCGGTTTACCATCGTTGGCCAGGGTTTGCCATAGTTAGTGAATTATCTGTTTTGAACTTGTGGAATTACTTTTTTCTTTTGTTTAGATCTGAGAACAGTGTTAAAGGTCTTTTTATAATTAATGTGCCTTATTTTAAAAAATGGCCATTTGAGAAATTGTTCTGTTTGATATATTTTAAGAAAAGTTTATTTGCTAAGAGTTTATTTCAAATAGTATAATTTACAGTGTGATTTGGTTTTGGTGTTTATTAATGTTATGATCTTACCCATTTTTGACTCGTCTTATCTCCTGGCATGTTATCGGTTATTATTGGTTATTATTGGTTTTCGGCCATCAGAAGGAGAAAATTATCGGTATCGGTTCTTAAAGTAAGTTATCGTGCATCCCTAGAAGGTTTTACTCAGAAATAACAATAAAGGAGCTCCTCTTGAACAGATTTTTTATCTGTCTGCAGTGAAATTAAAGCCCTGAAGGGAATCAGTCACCAGACGGTGGAAGAATTTAATCGGGTGGTTTTGTTCTCAGCTGCTCACCAAGTTGATCTCCGGCTGGAACACGGCGAGGCTGAAGTCCAGGTTAAAGACTTGCAGGAAGTCTACGATCAGACTGGCCACCAGACGACCTGCACGGACAGAAACACAGATCAGAACCAGACAGAGAGGACATGAAGGATTCAACACTGAGTTGATGGTTTTATTGTTGCTGATATTCTGAAATTGACTCAAACATCTCTGGTCTCTCCTGAAGAGCAGAGGGTGTAGAACAGTCAGAAAGTCTAGAAACAGTCTAGAAAGGTCAAAAGTCTGAGCAGTCTGATGGTGCAGCAGCGCCTCTCTCTGGTCAGAGACATGAACTACAACAACATGCAGAAACTGAACTGTACCACAACTTCTTTACATTTAATTTGTTAAATTAGTTAAACTCCAGAAACCTTCAGAAGGAAGTGATAAAATTATAGATGAGCAGAGACATAAATTTTATGTTCAGAGGAGGAAAACTGGTAAAATAAACAAAAAAACTGACCATCTTTAGTGTTCAGACATTTTTTCAGCTTTTCATTGACGAGTGGAGTTTTGTTCTGAGGACAAAAAAGACAAACATTAATAAGAAATAATGCAAAGTATGAATAAACTCAGGACAAATCTTCACCTCCAGTCTGTCCTGGTCCTCCATGGCCAAAAACACAGCTGCCCTCATCTCTGCCTGCAAGAAAAACAAAACATACAAGAGATATTTATTCAATCAAACACAGATAATGGTTTTATTCTTCGTGCTACTTCAGAAATAAAAAACTCAACTGATCAACAGAACAAAAACAAAATGTCCTTTTTCAAAATGACTTTTTTCAAAGAACCTCCGGTTCACCGACATGCTTCAACTACTGCAGAAATTGTAAACATTCTAAAATTAAGTTTTACGGAGGAAACGCGTTTCTGACGTGCTGTGTCGGCAAAAGCTATTATGTGCTATTATGTTACTAAGAATATTATAGAGCTAATTATTGATCCATTGATCAATAATTAGGTCTATGATATTTATTATTATTATTATTATTATCATTATCATTATCATTATCATTATCATTATCATTATTATTATTATTATATTATTATTATTAAGTTGTAGTTCATGTCTCTGACCAGAGGGAGGT